CCCTGGGGCTCCTTCTATGCTGCCATATAAAATCCAGATTATTTGCTTTGTACTGGATTACATGGCAGTTTAGACTAATATTCAAATTCAAAGATTATGTGGATTATTTACTTTGATAACCTGGATCATATGGCAGTGTAGAAGGACCTCAGTTGGGTGCCGAGTCAAGCCCCACAGCGACAAAACGACAGTTGCACTGTTAGTTCCCTCACCTGGACAAGTGAACGAAGGGTGCAACTATTAGGCGGGGAATGGCAAAACTCAGTTCTCTCCTTCTTCAAAAGGGGATGTGACTATTATGTGATGAAAGGTGGTATTGGAGAGGGATCTTTGAATCCAGTTAATCCAAAACCAATCTCTAGACAACCTGGACTGAACCTGGTGCCAACCAAAACACAATGGGCAGGAATTCACATCCACTAGGATTTTTCATGGGTACCTCAGGGGTCTTTCCTGAAAAAGAAATACTAAGATCTATTTGTTCAGAAGCCTTATCCTACCTTGTTATTCTCAATTAAAGAACTCTGTCTGAGGAACTATTCTTTTGCACAGTTCCCATGGGATATAACAGCACTTACTCAGGATATGCTACTGGTAGAATGTTGCCAATTATTCCATTTTCGAAGCAAAGATTTTGTCTTTGGCATTAAAATAGAAGGGGAGAAAAATAAATTTCCAGTACAATAAGCTAGCCATTCTTAGAAACTTTTCATTATTCTTTCCTTACAAGGCATTGGGTCTGTGAAATTTTAGAAATATGGACAATCAGCATTATCCAGGCAGTCCCAGAGTTATAAGCACCTGACTTACAGACAACTCATAGTTAAGGAAGGGGGTGAGGCAACAAGAAGTGAAAGAAATCTACCCCTAGGAAGGGAAATTCATCCCTGAAAGAGTTATCATGAGGAAAAGATGTCTCCACTGAAGATTTATCATCAATCTTTGTTTCCAAATGAAGTCAAGTTTTTCAAAATCCAATTATTACAGGGACAGAAAGTGAGGTGGAATCTTCTGCACAGGAGCACAGACTGAAGGGATGTTAACTCTTCCCTGGGTTACCCAGAGCTACAAAATATATATTTTTGGCTGAAGTTACACTTTAAAATGTACCTGTTCCAACTGGTATACAAATTCAGCTTAAGAACAAACCTACAGACCCTATCTTGTCCATAACTTGGGGACTGCCTGTTCTAAGAAAAAATATAATTGTGCCACGAGCCTATTGGTTTTTGCACTTCTGCTCTTAACTGAAACCAAATAATTTAATTATGGGCAGTGAAAGAGGGAGCAAGCCTGTTTTCTGCTGCCCTGGAGACTAGAACTGGGAGCAATGGGTTCAAATTACAAGAAAAGAAGTTCCACCTGAACATTCAAAAGAACTTCCTGACTGTAAGAGCTTTTAGCAATGAAACTCTCTGCCTCGGTGGTGGAAGCTCCTTCCTTAGAGGCTTTTAAACAGAGGCTGGATGGCCATCTGTCAGGAGTAATTTGTGCTTTTCCTGAATAGCAGGGGGCAGGACTGGATGGTCCTTGTGCTCTATTTCAACTCTATAATTCTATGAAAGTGATAAAACATGGTTACATTTTGTACAAAAAAAATGCTTTAATCCAAATTCACTTATCCTCTCTGAAGCTCAGAGATTCAATTAAAACAATTTTCCTTTCACAAGAGGCATATTTGGTTTTTCATCATGCATTTAAACATACTGCATTCCTAGGAGGCTGGATAACATATGCTCAGAGTAGAAGAATGTTTTTTTCCCAAGGAATATTGATCATTGGCTTTCCGCGGCTTTCTCCAATCCAACTCAAAGCCCCTGAAGCACTCATTAAAACATGCCAATATTGGCAGTGGAATTTTTTGCACACAAATATAAGCATTTGCCTATTTCCATGAGAACGAAAACAGGCAGTTGTGATACACATGTAAGGAAATATTTCTTTCAAACCACATATTTTAAAAGCCACAATAAATCAGCTACACAGTATTGCAGTGTAGCTTTCACTCACCATAAATACAAAAAGATTGTGTGGGGATGAGAAAAAAGAATAGAATATCATATAAACAGTTTATTTATCAGGTTGTTGTTGGTTTTTAGGGCTATATGGTCATGTTCTAGAAGCATTCTCTCCTGACATTTTGCCTACATCTATGGCAGGCATCCTCAGAGATTGTGAGTTTATTTATTACTTTTAATTTTTGTTTGCAATATAGATAATATTTGCATCTATAGTATTAGGCCTCTAAAACTGAACATAAACTTTTCCTGAAGTTTAGGAATTTTTATTCTTGATCAAAAGAAAGTGATGCTGTGGAATAAAACTGAACACTCCTTAAAATACATACTTTCCCTACTATGTGTGTGTATGCATGTGTTGTAGTAGCATGCGTGTGTATAGAAGCAAACAAATCATATTCCTGGCATGCTGTTCTTTCCTGAAGACTGTGGCCCCTTCCACTCAGCTAAATAAAATCCCACATTATCTGCTTTGAACTGGAATACATGACAGTGTGGACTCAGATAACCCAGTTCAAAGGAGATATTGTGGGATTTTCTGCCTTGATATTCTAGGTTATAGAGCTGTGTGGAAGGGCCCTCAGAAATAGCTTTGGGTATATTTAATCAACAAGGTTAGGTTCTACATGTATTTACTTATTAGTTAGAATATATGTTGTAACATAAATACACTTCAGAGTGGGATCTAACTAAATTAATTTTTTCCAACTGTTGCTTTGGCCCCTTCCACACAGCCCTATATCCCAGAATATTAAGGCAGAAAATCCCACATCATCTGAGTGTGGACTCAGATACCCCAGTTCAAAGCAGATATTGTGGGATTTTCTGATATTCTGGGATATAGGGCTGTGTGGAAGGACCTTAAATGTTCTCACACTTAGCCCCCTTCTACCCTGCCATATAAAATCCAGATTATCTGCTTTGAACTGATTATATATATGGCAGCGTAGAATCATATAATCTAGATAATGTGGATTATCTGATTTGATAATCTGGATTACATGGCAGTGTAGAAGGGGCCTTACAATTACAACTGAGGCCCCTTTCACACAGCTGTATAAAATACACATTGAACTGGATTATATGGCATTGTGGACTCAGATAACCCAGATCCCTTCCAGACAACCCCAATATCCCAGGATCTGATCCCAGGTTTTCTGCTTTTTCTGCACTGCCAGATAATCTGGGATAAACAGAAAATCTGGAATCAGATCCTGGGCTATAGGGCCTGTCTGGAAGGGCACCCAGTTCAAAGCAGACATTGGGACCTTCCACAAAGCCACATATCACAGAATATCAAGTCATATAATCCACAACATCTGCTTTGAACTGGATTATCTGAGTCAAGACTGCCATATAATCCAGTTCAAAGCAGACAATGTGGGATTTTATAGAGCTGTGTGGAAGGAGCCACTGTGGAGTATCTCTCTTGATATTCTGGGTTAAATGGCTGTGTGGAAGGACCCCGAAATTAGGGAGAGATTATGTGGAGCTCAGTCCCCATGCAATTCAATCCGCACACCCACAACCAAGCATTTGCTTATTTGTTTATATACAACTTTCAGTCTCATCTAAACGATAGTTATTTGTGTGAATTCTAGTGTGGCTTGGTCTCAAATTCAGGAAATGGAGAATTATTTAGCAAGGCCTCTTCTACACTGCCATATAATGCAGTTCAAATCAAATATTGCAGTGTAGGGCCATTCTACACAGCCAAATAACCCAGAGCCCTTCCAGATAGGCTTTATATCTCAGGATATGATCCCAGGTTTTCTGCTTTAAACTGGATTATGAGTCCACAATGACAGCGCTCTTCCACAAACCCTATATCCCAGAATATCAAGGCAGAAAATCCCACAATATCTGTTTTGAATTGGGTTATCTGAGTCCACACTCAGATAATGTGGGATTTTCTGCCTTGATATTCTGGGATATAGGGCTGTGTGGAAGGGCCCTTAGTCCACACTCAGATAATGTGGGATTTCCTACCTTGATATTCTGGGTTCTATGGTTGTGTGGAAGGGCCCTGAATCCACACTCAGATAATTTGGGATTTTCTGCCTTGATATTCTGGGTTCTGTGGTTGTGTGGAAGGACCTTGAGTCCACTCTCAGATAATGTGGGATTTTCTGACATGATATTCTGGGTTCTGTGGTTGTGTGGAAGTACCCTGAATCCACACTCAGGTAATGTGAGATTTCCCGCCTTGATATTTTGGGTTCTATGGTTGTGTGGAAGGGCCCTGAGTCCACACTCAGACACTGTGGGATTTCCTGCCTTGATATTCAGGGTTCTATGGCTGTGTGGAAGGACCCTGAGTCCACACTCAGATAATGTGGGATTTCCTGCCTTGATATTCTGGGTTCTATGGCTGTGTGGAAGGACCCTGAGTCCACACTCAGATAATGTGGGATTTCCTGCCTTGATATTCTGGGTTCTATGGCTGTGTGGAAGGACCCTGAGTCCACACTCAGATAATGTGGGATTTCCTGCCTTGATATTCTGGGTTCTATGGCTGTGTGGAAGGACCCTGAGTCCACACTCAGATAATGTGCGATATTCTGCCTTGATATTATGGGTTCTGTGGCTGTGTGGAAGGGCCCTGAATCCACACTTTGTGGGATTTCCTGCCTCGATATTCTGGGTTCTATGGCTGTGTGGAAGGGCCCTGAGTCCACACTCAGGTAATGTGGGATTTTCAGCCATGATATTCTGGGATATAGGGCTGTGTGTGGAAGGGCCCTGGGTCTCAAGGCCAGTGTAGAGGGGGGCCTGAGAGAAAGGCCCAGAACCAACACATATCCACGGATGAAGGCAGGATCCCCGCCCCCTTCCAGCAGCCAGGTCTTTCCCTCTCGCCCCTCAGAGATGTCCGTGCCTTGAGTAGACACACACAACTCCTAAGGAGGAGAGCCGCCTTGATTCCCCACAAGGCCCAACTTTCGGCCTGCCTGCCTGCCCGCCTCCCTCCTTGGCTCTCACCTCTCGCCAGGGAACACAAACCGCAGACGAGGAGGCTCCTCAGCACGGCGCCCATCTTCCCTCCTCTGGCTCTCACCGGCGGGGAGGCGAAGGTGGCGGAGGAGGAGGAGGAGAGCGACACCTCCTCGGCCGCCCTCTCATGCTTTCGGAGGGGCAGAAACGGAGCGGCGCCGAAACAATTGCTTGGAGAGGCCTCAGCCGGGGAAGGGTCTTCCCCTCCCGCCTTTGTCTGTCTTCTCTTCCCGGAACAAACACTACTCGGCGGCCGGGGAAGGGGCGGCGGGAGGGCAGGCGCGCGCCCCCATGGCCCCCGCCTCGCGCCAAAGGAGGGCCCCCTCGCGCACTCGCTCGCGCACTCACTCCGTCGCGCGCCGCGGCCTCCCTCAGTCCAGGCAGCCTCGATCCCCCTTCCCTTTGGAAGCCCGGGAGGGAGGCCGCGCGCAGGAACTACGCATGCCTGCCGCCGCCTCGCCTGGGTTTTCCGAAGGCAAAATCTCCCTTCTTCCTCCTCCTGCTCCTACGGCAAAGGCATTCACGTCGGCCTTTGCTCGCTCGGGCCCTTTCTTTCTCCGGCCTGCTTTCTCTCAGCCGCTTCAGTCCTCCTGGCAATCCGCTAGCCCTGCCGCATTCCTCAGGGACTTCTTGACGTCTCTCGGCTTGAGAGAAATGGATAAAATAATCACACAAAGTGATGAGGCTCCGGCAGCGTAGCACCCTGGACCTGGGAAGGGAGTGTCGGAACTACTTCCAGGGACACCGCGAGAGCCGCAGAGCCAGCAGCACAAAAGAGGAGGGGGAGGGGGAGGAGAGGAGGCTGGGACACATCCGCCGCGCCGCCCAGGTGAACGACGCGCGCCTCCAGGAGGCAGGACGACGAGGATCCCTCCGCCAGGAGCGCCCAGGGAGGGAGGGACAGAGGGAGGGAGGCGGGCCTTTTCCTCGCGCACTGGCCGGGCTGTGGTGGAGATAGGCGGCCAGGTCTGGTGAAGCGAGTGGTTACCTCACACAACTTGAGGCCCTTCCAGACAGGCCCTATATTCAAGCATCTGATCCTAGGTGTCCTGTTTACCTCATAATATCCGACAGTGTGGACTCATATAACCCAGTTCAGAGCAGAAAACCTGGGATCAGCTCCTGGAATATAAGGCCTGTCTGGGGCCCTTTCCACACAGCTGAATAAAGTCCCAAATTATCTGCTTTGAACTAATAATAATAATAATGTTGTTCTTCATTCGTTCAGTCGTCTCCGACTCTTCGTGACCTCATGGACCAGCCCACGCCAGAGCTCCCTGTCGGCTGTTACCACCCCCAGCTCCCTCAAGGTCAGTCCAGTCACTTCAAGATAATAATAATAATTGTTGTTATTATTATTAATATAGACTAGCTGTCCCCTGCCATGCGTTGCTGTGGCCCAGCCTGGTGATCTGGAAAATAAAGTAATGAGAAAGTGTTGTTTTCTAATATATGTAATTCCTTTCTGCTTGTGGGTAAACAGTATTTATTGCTGTTTCTTTGTCAGTGTTGATGTGGAGAGTGTCTGGTTTCCCTACTCTGGAACATGCAACATATCATAGTCCTTTAAGGGTCCCTTTCAAATCTATGATACTATATCTGTGTTTGTGAAAGAGAATCATATCTATCTATCTATATTTATGACTGGATGGCTCTTTGTTAGGAGGGCTCTGATTACATTTTCTTGCCCTGGTGAAGAGAGTTGACTGGATGGCCTTAAGTATTTTCTGTTGGTCATGGGGGTTAAGTGTGGGAAGTTTGCCCCATTTCTGTCGTTTGTGGGTTTCAGAATGCTCTTTGATTGTAGGTGAAGTATAAATCCCAGTAACTACAATCCCAAATGTCAAGGTCTATTTCCTCCAAACTCCATCTGTGTTCATATTTGGGCATATGGAATATTGTGCCAAGTTTGGTCCAGATCCATCATTGTTTGAGTCCACAGTGCTCTCTGATGTAGGTGAACTACAACTCCCAAACTCAAGGTCAATGCCCACCAAACCCTTCCAGTGTTTTCTGTTGGTCATGGGAGTCCTGTGTGCCAAGTTTGGTTCAATTCCATCGTTGGTGGGTTCAGAATGCTCTTTGATTGTAGGTGAACTATAAATCCCAGCAACTACAACTCCCAAATGACAAAATCAATTTTTTTTAGTGAAGGACATACATTGGTTTCTTAGATGTCTTGTGTCCAAATGTGGTGCCAATTCCCCCAGTGGTTTTGGTTCTGTTAATCCCACAAACGAACATTACATGGTTAACCAGGCGTGTAGCCAGGGGGCGGTTTTAGGGGTTCAACCTCCCCCCAAATGTTTCAGGTTAAAAAAAACTGATTTACTCATGAATTTTAACTGGTTAACCAAATCCCCATGCTAAGTCTATGAGATGCAAAAAATTAAGAGTCCCTCCAGAACTGCAAGCACTATCTCAAGCAAATATTGACAATTTATTCACACTGTCATTACTTGCAGCAATAGCCAATGTAGCAAAGCAACCAAATGGGGGTGGAGGAATGTTGAATGCTCTCATTAAGGAGGCCACACTTGGTGGAGGTGGTTGACAGGGGCGGAGCTGCAGGCTATTGAAGTCTGCTCTGCCCCCTGCTGTGCTCTTTGCTTCAGCGTGAGCTAGGAGGCAGGTTTCAACCCCTCCCCCCCCGAAATTTTCAACCCCTCCCGAATTTTTTTCTGGCTACGGCCCTGACGGAGGGAGACGGGCCCTTTCCTCGCGCACTCACCATGAGAGCACTGGCCAGGCAGTCATGGAGATAGGCGGCCAGGTCTGGTGCAGCGGGTGGTTACCTCACGCAATTTGGGGCCCTTCCAAACAGGCCCTAGGATTTGAGTCTAGGTTTCCTGTTTACCTCAGATTATCTGACAGTGTGGACTCATATAACCCAGTTTAGAGCAGAAAACCTGGGACCAGCTCCTGGAATATAAGGCCTGTTTGGGGCCCTTTCCACACAGCTGAATAAAGTCCCAAATTACCTGCTTTGAACTAATAATAATAATAATAATAATAATAATAATAAATACAATCCAGAGCAGAAGAGAAAACTGGCAAAAGAAGGCTCTCCATGGACAGTTTCTGGCAAAAACTGAGAGCCAAACTGAAAAAGAAAAAACATGGATGTGGCTCACAAATGGGACTCTGAAAAAGGAGACGGAGGGCCTGGTTCTGGCAGCCCAAGAACAAGCCATTAGAACCAATGCCATCAAAGCCAGAATAGAAAAGTCGACAACAGATCCCAAATGTAGACTCTGCAAGGAAGCAGATGAAACAATAGATCACATCCTCAGCTTCTGCAAGAAGATTGCGCAGACAGACTACAAGCAGAGGCATAACGTGGCTCAGATGATTCATTGGAACTTGTGCCACAAATACCATCTGCCTGAGACAAAGAACTGGTGGGATCACAAGCCAGAAAGAGAATGAACATGCCAAACTCCTCTGGGACTTCTGAATTCAGACAGACAGAGTTTTGGAGCGTAATACTCCTGACCTCACGATCGTGTTAAAAAAACAAAGTATGGATCATCGATGTTGCAATCCCAGGTAACAGCAGGATTGAAGAGAAACAACTGGAAAAGCTGACATGAGACGAGAATTTAAAGATCGAACTGCAAAGACTCTGGCACAAGCCAGTAAAGGTGGTCCCAGTGGTCATCGGCACACTGGGTGGAGTGCCTAAAAACCTTGGCCTGCACTTAAACACAATCGGTATTGACAAAATTACCATCTGCCAGCTGCAGAAGGCCACCTTACTGGGATCTGCACACTTCATTCACCGACACAGTCCTAGACACTTGGGAAGTGTCCAACGTGTGATCCAATTCAACCAGCAGTGTCTGCTGTAAACTCACCTTGTTGTGTTTCAAATAATAATAATAATAATAATAATTTATTGATTTGACCAGTCATATGACCATTTCAATATACAACACGAATAAAAGAGGAAGCAAAAAGGAGAGGACAGCAGCTGACTTTCTATTTACAGTCAGAATCTTATTTTCCTGGTTCTTCTTTCAGGAAATGTGCGCTTTTCTTGATAGATTTCAGAATAAAAAGGCTTATTCTGATTATGGTGGATTTTTCTTGTCCTTGGAAGAGGAATATAAAGCAATGTAGATTCAGGGCCCTTCCACACAGCCCTATATCCCAGAATATCAAGGCAAAAAATCCCACATTATCTGTGGACTCAGATAACCCAGTTCAATGCAGAAGTCAGACTGTGGTCCACGCCCTTGTTACATCCCAAATAGACTACTACAACGCACTCTACGTGGGACTGCCTTTGAAGACTGCCCGGAAGCTTCAGCTAGTCCAACGGTCGGCAGCCAGGTTGCACACCAGAGCAGCGTACAGGGAACATACAACTCCTTTGTTACACCAGCTCCACTGGCTGCTGATCAGCTTCCGAGCACAATTCAAAGTGCTGGTTTTAAACTTTAAAGCCCTAAACGGTTCTGGCCCAGACTACCTGTCCAAATGTATCTCATCCCACAAACCATCACGAAGTTTAAGATCTTCAAGAGAGGCCCTGCTCTCAATTCCACTATTATCGCAAATGCGGTTAGTGACTATCCTGGATCATGAGTTTTATAGTGAACCACAGTCATTGAAGTAAACATACACACATGCAATCAAACCTCTTTTCCCCTTCTTCCTTCCCGGCTCTCTCCTTCAATTCAGCATCTCTCTGTTTCTTTGTTGCAAAACAATCCTGTTTTTCTGAAAATAATCTCCTACGCGATTTCCCCTCCGCCCATCTCTGTCAGGTCATCCTGATCTCTCTCACCTCTTACCCACATCTCTCCCCTGGTGCTTGCAACATTATCTCTTCCCAAATTACTTCACTCTTCCCTCCTTCTCTTTAACCACATCAAACTCTCATCTTTTAGAATGGACTTTTAAATCTTAGCTCCATCAATTATATTGTTCAATATATTATTTACACCCACCCAACCCTCCCATTATTTACATAACATTACTGCACAGTAAATTCTATTGCTTCTACATTCTAGTTGTATCCATTACATAAAATTATTATAAGGTCCTCATTAATTTCTCAACCACAAACTTTCTTGAACTTTTGATGATGTCAATTCTCCATTGGTTTTACATATAAAACTCATCAATAGGTTCAGAGTTTTATCAAATAGATCTTCCTTCAATTCACCTTTTGCTAATCTTAAATTTAGATGTTATATTTTCTAATAGAGCTATCACCAATATCCTGTTTAACCAATTATTTATTGTCAGATTCTCTAACATTTTCCAGGATTTCACTATTTGAAGTCTTGCAACCCTTGCCAGGTTGTGATAAGCATACTCCGCTTATGCTCTTAGCAGATGAGAAAGCCATCTTATTGGAAAAATATATAAAGTTTTACTGAAGATGGAAATGGAATCAGAACTGATTAAAGAATATATGATTAAATGGGCACAATATGTCGGGCACAACATAGAATTAGATAAATGGGGAAAATGTGGACTATTGCTTAAAGAAAATTTTATGCTACGACCTTAGAGAATTGTAAAATGATGAACAGTTGGTACCTGATGCCAGCAAGGCTTGCTAAAATATATAAGGGAAGAAACAAGAAGTGCTGGAATTGTCAAGAACAAGAAGGAACCTCACAACCTCTGAGGATGCTTGCCATAGATGCAGGCGAAACGTCAGGAGAGAATGCCTCTAGAACATGGCCATATAGCCCGAAAAAACCTACAACAACCAAGTGATTCCAGCCATGAAAGCCTTCGACAATACATTGAACAAGAAGGAACTTTCTTCCACATGTGGTGGTCCTGTAAAAGGGAATTCTGGGACAAGGTACAAAAACAATGCAATTGAA